AGATGCTGCAAAATGAACTTTCCCAATATTTCAATGGAAAAGCATAGGTTAGTGATTTTTCTACAGCTGACATACGCTGTAATTTGTGAAACAGAAAGAGTTTTGGAATAAAAGTTTACTTTTGAATGAAATTAAATTAAATAAAATTAAAGGAAATAAATTTCTTATGTGAAACTACAGTATCAATCAGCTTTTAAAGATCCTACTTATGAGACAATACCAGTCAAATACAGTCCTAGTAAAAACAAGAGTTTAAACCTGTAACCAGCAAAAAACATTTGCATATTTTTTAAAGTTCCAATTTAGAAACTTAAATAATCGAAAGGACTTCTCTGTAATACTTGCCACACAAAACTTGGCTATCAAAGACCAAAGGCAGGAAACAAATATGTGCAATTAAGAAAAAATGAAATTGACCACTTTGTTTGTCCAAGCTAAATAGGATAGTGAACATAAGCCTTGTCATTCATGAAAACTGCACTTGGCATGAATGCTTTTTCAGTTTTAACAGTCTAGAATTACAAAGAGTGTATTCATATTTTCTAAATGTGTGTCATAGTCTGAACTCCTCCCTGACTAATCCCTTGCTCAGCCAAAACTCTCATCCATCAGTGACAGCACTAGATGAGGTCTATTATGTTATTACACCTGGCTCAAAAAGCAGATTGAGAAACTTCTTTTAAAAAGGCTAAATTCATTCTGTGTTTTATATGGTCCTTAAGTACGGTCAAGCAATAAACGCTTCTACACAAAAGATGATATCTTGCATAAAGTCAACAAGTTAACTGCAGTTGGGCCCATGGGGAACTGCAATAGGGGATGCAAAGGCACTCTCCAATTCTCCCCTCTGAGTCAGAGAAGACTCAACTTGGGAACCAACCAGTGGTCTAAATAGGCTTGTAGACACTTTTACAACAGTTTCACAGGAGAGTAAACAGGATGGAAGAGAACACAGTGGGACATTGACTTCCCAATTGCTGTTTCTCAATCCCTATTTCAGTCAAAAGACCTCACTATTATACAGCAGCCTTATTGAACAGGTAGCAAAAGTAGTCTATAAACACCAGCTCAAAGAAAAACCTTATGTTTCCCATCCAGAAGTCATTTGATAGATACAAAAAGGTCAGGAATATTAATCTTAAATGACTAAGCCTTCTCTAAGGATAAAGTTAGTTTCTTCATAATGAACACCAGACAAACTCTCTGAGTTTCTGCTTTTTTCTCCAACAGTCTGGCCACGTTACATCCTCATACGATATAGCCCTGATCTCAGGTTGACCTTCCAGGAACTACTGTAACATGCTCAGTAGTAAAAAGCCAATCTGGAGATAGTAAAGAGCACGACCAGATTTGCAAAATTAATTTCAAATATCCCACAAACATGGGCACTAGAGCCAATGCAAATGACAGTCAGACCTTTGGAATTTCTTACCTGATTCAGTATTGAATGTCACAGTGTTGCTGCTTGGACCTTCACCAAGAGGGTTTCTAGGTTTCACGTGGAATTCATAACTGGGGAACAAAAGAGCAGAGGTGAAAATTTTGCAAACCAAGCATTCTTTCAGAGTCTGGAGCAAGCAAACTCCCAGCACACACCTTGGTGCTACTTGCCTCCTGGAGAAGGACATAACGGCCTCATTTCTTGCTCTGAAAACACTGAGACATTCTTTGTCTTAACTCTATAAGGCCTCTCTGAACACATAGTTTACCAGTCCTTTTGATAATTCTTTGCAATGCGGTTGCAATGCACCACTGGTTTAAGTCTGTCTCCTCTCACATATGCAGTTTCAGTCCTTGCAAAGGGAGTAGTTCAGGGGAGGTCAGAAGCAATCTGATGAGCAGAGATTGAGTAAAGCACATTTCTATTTCTTTGCACATTTTTCATTCATAAGAACACCAATTCAATGTCTCTCAGGCCCACCGACAGTGACAGACACTGGGTCAGTGGTGAAACACATGGCATGTCTTCCAGGACAGCAGCTCAGCCAAGGCAAGACCCAATTTTGTTAATATACATTAATGGTGAATATATGAAGTACTGATAAGATATTGCGCAGCATCTCTTTCTTATCTTTTCATAGTCGTGTTGCACAACACCAGTCTGTACTGTAGTTATCTCATGATCCCTTTTCATCACAACTGTATTGGGAACCAAACACAGTGCTATGAAAATGAAACAAGATTGAAGGAAAAAAATCCAAGCCAGACTCCTCTGCTTAAGCTTCTCCCACAACCTCGACACCTGATTAACAGCAACAGACAGGCAAGACAAGGTGATTTCTAGCTCTGCATCTCAGCCTAAACTCCCACTTTCAATTAGAAGCTCTAGGTAAACAGCTATTGAAAGACAGTTGCAAACCTAAAAATGTTACGCAGAAGACACCAGATAGACAAGGCAGGAGAGTCACAAGGCTGGACACTGGACACAGCACAGATCTCACAAGGGGAGAGACTCTGTAGTTCCTCCCTCCCAGCACACACTATCCCAGCAAGCTGCTGCTCAGCTCTCCTGGCTCCAGGCTGGCAGCACCTGGAAATGTTCCGCCACTCAACAATGCCTCAGTGCCTACCTGTAGGACCTGCATGCCCTCCATGACAAAGCACCCTGATGAGTAGCATGTATACACCCAGTCAACAGCACCCTCTTCATGCCTTCCCCATGAGCTACAGGCAAGAATCTGTCCCATACATGCCACCTACAGAGAGACTTTTCACATGCTTTGAGTGCATACATGGTGAATCTCTCTTAACACAGAATGTTTTTTCATCAGTGAGAGAGATCCACAGGACACAAGTCAAAAGCAATGTAGGCCTGGAAAATTGGCCATAACTTACAGACCAAACACAGAGCAAAATGAGAATCCCAGAAGTGGGCAATTAAACATCCAGTCCTTGACTCTTGAAGGATCACTTACCAATGATAACCTCGTAGCTCATGGCTATAACATAGCATCGTAATGTATTGCTGAAATTCCTTCCAAACAGGAATTTTCTAAGAAAAGAATGTACCACTCTCTGCACGGTTGGAAATTTGTAAACTCCATTTGCAAGTCCCTATAAGAGTCAGAATAATTCAATCCAAACTTTGGATTACCTCTCATTGCTTCTTGGCTCCTACAAAACCTAAGCAGCTAGCTAATTAACCTCAGTGGACTAATCATGTAGTACCAAGAAACTGTTTTCCATCCACAGTACTTCTAAGAGAATCTTTAACTTTCAAATTGCTTACATAAGCAATTGCCTTTATTTCTAGGGTTTTCTTCTCTTTTTAAAAGAAAATGCTTATAAAGATTGGTGTGCTGAGCAGATGCTTTGTGGATAATTCATGGACATTTCTAAGTGAAAGGTGGGCTTCTTTTGAACTTTAAAAATTCTGTTTGGAATAATCTTAGCATTCATTCAAACATGCTGCAAGATCATTTTGAGCAACTCATATTACCCTGCTGTAAGAGGGAGTAATTTAATAAATAATAAATTAAATAGTAAGTTCTAGACACAAACGTCTTCTTCATTATTTACTTCAAATTATTTTAAAAAATACATGCTTTTAAAATTTGGATCTGAGCAGTTAATATTTATATTGAGCATATGGCACAGTAACTCAAGTATTCTCATCTAGCAGGAAAGGTCATTATCCAGAGAACTGTAGCAGAGCCATTAGAGATTCCTTCTGAAGAATCACTGAAGCATAAATGAAGATTTGCTAATACATTAGGTATTTTAAAGTAATAGCCAAAATATATATTTTGGACAATACAAATTAATGCACACCTAGACAAAAAAATACTCCAAAGAAGTCTTACTGCTTACTTCACAGCAGGAACACCTTATCTAGAGCTATTATTGTAATTTTGATCATTGTAAGCTTAACATGGCATGTTTTATTGCTTTACTGGGAATTTGTGGTTTGTCGTTATGGATGATAGTAATCTGTTTATGTCTCTTTGTATGAAATCAAAAGGGAAATATGAAGAGCACTGCCTAGGTTTCCTGACCTAGAGTTTTTTATTCCATAGAATTGGCTACAAGGAAAGGACAAAAATTGAGCAGGTGAAACGCTCCTGTGGAACTGGACTGGGCAGGGACTTAGAAGGTAATGACACAGAAAAGTAGGAACTAAAGATAAAGATCTACAGAGATCTGGATTTATCTGAATATGTAAGGATTTCACAGATTGTGCAAGCTGGATTTACATGCCTCTGTCAGGCAGAAAATCACAAGCCGAACAAGATGGAGTATTTTGAAACAAATTGAAGCATTTTGCTGATTTCTGTACAAATATATTGTCCTCAAGAGCTGATATGCTCTGTTGCATCAGGCAACTTTTTTCATAGGAAACAGTCCTGTTCCCAAAAAACTTAAGTAAGCCAATGAAATTGGACCCATCAATTTTCTAAATTTATAAATAGACCAAAACAAGAACTGAAGACTAAATATTTTCCAAGCACTGTTTTTCAAATTGTGGTCTAGGGACCTTTAGGATCTCTGCAAAAGATCAAATCACAGTTGGGGAAATTATGGCAAGATTGAAATAAAGAACTGAAATATACACTTAGAGATTTCAGCTTATGTAAACATATAAACAAAATCAGAGAAATGGAAAGTAATAAAGAAATGTCCAAAGTTTAGCTTAGTCAGTTAGGGGAAACTCCTATTAATAATGTTAAAGAGCAAATTTTTTAAACTAAAATATATACAACTCTACAGTTTTGTGGTAGATGTTTTCACAGGTGCCCAAGCACCACAGGCTTTTCCTCTGCCAAATTCACAGTGGCTCCAACAGTACAAGAACAAGAAATCACCAGTTTGAAGACGAAGAAAAGTAACTAATTGTCTGAAAACTGAAAGGGAGAGAAAGGAAAAGAGACTGAGCTCACAGTTTGATAGAGTTTACAGATCTAATTGTAATTTTAAAGCCATAGTGTGGTGCACTTAATATAAAACCTTTTAAAGTCTCCCATTTTGTGCATCAGGTGAAAGATTTGAAAAATAATAGTAAAACAGCTAAAAAGGGCACCTGCTGCAATCTTACGCACTTCTATACAAACTACAAGGGAGGGGAAAAAAATTCTTAGAGGTTCATGAAAGTAAGTAGGGCAAAGTTAATAAAGGAAAATAGACAAGCTATATAATGATTATCCCATGTCTACCTCTTAGCTAGACATTTTCATGAGTAACCGGAGTCTATATTCCATCTTTATAACTGTGTGCCTATGATGCCAAAAACTCTGCTACCCAGTATATGCAGCAATCTAACTAACATGTGCCACTCTAACATCTGTAAGATTGCTAACCTACGAACATTGGAGACTAGGCCTCCCAAATTGCCCCAAACTGCTTAAGACAATAAAAGTACTTGTGCAGATTAAATGGACTTGACTTGCAGTAATTACTGTGGAGAGCATATTTTTCCACCATAGGAAATCACTATTCCACATGGAACCTTGGCAGACGCAGATGCTCTTGCATTTTTTAAATCATGCAAAAGGAGAAGGTTGAAGACTGCAGAACTGAAAATAGGTGAAGAGAGATTTTCACCATAATAGGATGACTGGAGCAGCTGAGTACAGTCCTGGGACTTCAGGTCAATTGCTGGGGAGATAATGGTGGTTAGGATGACAATCATGCAGGACTGTCTCCATGTACGGAGCTTCTCTGTCTCTGCAGAGTGTGCTTGGATAGCAGTATGATCAGGCATAGCAAATAAAACTAGGTTTAAGAGAAGGGAATGAAAACAGAAAGAAAGAAAAAAAAATCTAAGTTTGTTTGAGGAGTCCTCCTCTTAATCAAGTTGGAAGAAGGGCTAAGAGAAATAGAAAATGCTTGCTCATGAACCCTGACATCAACAGCAATTTAGTTCAAAAAAAACCTGTTACTTTTGTGATAAGGAGCACAAAAACCACCAGCACTTTTCTGCCACTTTCTGCATTTTTCTGCATTGTAACTTTCACTGTAGTTCTCATCTCTTGACCCTTGCTGTTAAGAAAAGCTAGTCTCTCTGCATTGGTAAATTTTTTTTCTTGTGTGAGGTTAGCACATTTTTGGGTGCTAACTGCAATACAAAGCAATACTAAATAATGGTAATAACAGAATGAGAGGATAGGTGCAATAAGATGTTTATTCAGTAGACGTTTGAAGACTTATTTGGCATGGCCTTCAAGTAAATTATAGTGATTTTGTTTCATACCTTTTGTAAGACGTGAAAAAACTTTTGAAAGAAACCATCTACATACATTATGAAAACAGTCTGGTACATTTGGTACCCTACACATTTCATGTTTGCTTTACAATTTTGATTGGTATGTTGGGTTTGTGAGGTGATTGTTGTTGTTGTTGGGTTTTTTGTTTTGTTCTTGGCTTTGTTTTGTTTTGTTTTACCTTGGATTTGGTTGTTTGGTTTTGATGTTGTTTGGTTGTTTTTGGTTTTTTGTTTTTTTTTTTTTAATTAGCATTTCCTGTTATTTATATTACTTAAGAGAACTCATGTCTGGAAATATACTTTCCCTTGGGACACAATCTAACCCAAAGGTCCAAAAGAGACCACTCAAAAAGTATGTAAAAAGGAGAGAAGTGTATTTGAATTCACCAAACTACTTAACCAGTCAAAGGATCAGTACCTAAAGGGAAGTTTTAAAAGGCTGTGGAATACAAACATCACAAGATTTTTTCTTCTTATTAATACTTTTTTCTATTAAGAAACTATACCAGCAGGCTGGTAGGACATGTCTGCTACTTTAATGGCTACCTGAGTTTTCCCAGAGTTATTTGGCACATCTCTAAAGTCTTACTATTTTTTGTTGTTACGTTCTAATTATTGCTAAAAAAACCCATGCATGAGAACTGTTTTCCACAACATTCAGACTCCTTTTTGTATGGAAATTAGTGCTGCAAAGTTTCCTGGATTCTAGTGGTATGTTCTATGAACTTCATTGCCCTTAAATAACCTGTCAGAATGAAAGAGGAAATGTACACCTAATTTGAAAAAATATTTCAAGATAGAGCAAGGATACAGAAATAAGAACTACATATTTTGGCAGAGAAACCAGCAGAAGTAACAGTAAAAAAGTCAGAATGATGCTATATCAGATGACTGGAAAACTTAAATAAATAAATCAAATTTTAAGGAGTTACAAATAACCAAAACTAGTAAAATGACCCAAAATTCTGAAACTCCATTGGAAATGGGAAAGTAGAATTGGAAACAAAAAGATAACAACATCTGTATTTAATATGCTAGGCTAGGAAAGGTCCTTGAAAAAACTGCAGGTTAGTGAAACTGATTTTAAGAAAGGATAAGATACAGAGGAGCACCAGAATTATTACACAGGAGACAGAATGAAGAAAACGAAAACCACAGTAAGGCCATTTCTATCTCAGATCTCTGGAGTTTTATTACAAACAAGTACCTCACGGAGGGAAATACTGAAATTTGTGAATAATGACCCTACCTTGACTCAGATATAGAAGATCTTGCTTGACTATTATCACAGAAGACTGCAATACTTTCTTTTGAAGGGCAGTTTTTAATGTAAAACTGAGAATAGATAAAAAACACAGTGTCCTGGCTATGCTAATGAAACTAAGCATTATGGTGTGAGCAGCCTTGTAAGGAAACTCAAAAGGAAGGGACCTGTATGATAAGTTGGATGGAATATTGTACATCTAATTCCTCAAATGATTGCTTGGAAGTTAGACTGTAACTGCTTTGACCAAAGCAATCAGTCTGTGCTTTGTCTTCGACTGTTTTCAAGGTGGAATAAATGGTACATTTCTCAAAAAAACTGTGACAGTTTTCTCAGTATAAAAACTGCAGAATTTCCATGTGGAGGATGAAAAATTAAATTGACAGATTAGTTCATACTAACACATCCCTTTCTCTCGCTTTTCTTTGCAAAGAAATGAATGACATTTACATTAACATACAAAAGTATCTTGGCCTGCATTAAAGAAAATGGACAAAGTTGAGATTTACAAGATCAAAAACTATCCCAAGGTACAATCATGCGATAGTTTTTGCACTTCCATAAATCGGACTGTGACAGGGAGGGTCTTAATCTTGCGAACCTGTGCTTTCTCTCAACACAGAAAAAATTCTGGCATGCTGTCAAGAATATAATTTACAAAACAATTCTTAATAGATTGTCAAAATCGCAGATAATTTCAGCCCCCACCAGTCAGTACTAATCTCATCTTGTAACAAAATCCATGCCCCAGAAGAGCGTTCCTCCATGGTCTCTGTTCTGCCCTTGCTTATCAACCCCGAAAATCCTCTCATAGGATTAACAGAATTATTCCAAATTGAAGATAGAAAACATCTTATCTGCTTCCACATGGCTCCTGCCTTCCTTGTGATCATTCCAATGGTTCCAGCTTTACCTGCCTGCCTCCATCATCTTTCCTTTTGAACACAGAGAGGTCTAAAAATGCTTTTCTCTTTTATCTATCTGGACAAAGCTTTCAACATCAAGAACTTTTCTTTGCTTCCAGTCTTTTCTACACTTAACCACATCCATCCCATTTCTGTCACCATATATGACATGAAGAGTTTAAGTCTGTAATGGAAAAGAAACTCACAGGCTTCTTTTCAAGGATGCAATTGTATTATTTCAAAGCAGAACTGACATGAAAACACAAACACCATAGCCTGACAAGTTTCGCAGCACCAACTGCCTTTCTTTGTCACTACTTCAGAAATACATTGTTTTAACTGCCTTTTCTAAGCTTTCTTAACTGATTGAGGAAGAGATTGAGAAAACTGATGCTTGGTCTCTAGTTGTATTGCTAACATACCCTAATTGCGTCTTAACAAGACAGAGCAACATACCTGCAGTTCACCCTTTCACAAGCCACATGCCTTTAAGAAGTAACAGAGATACTCTTGATGCAATGCATAGCAATTCTAGCCCATCTTATGAGTTTTGGAGTCTCTCAAATAAGCTTTTTTTGGTTATCACATGTTCCCAATTCAAAAAATGACATCCCATATTAAACTACATATTGCCTAACAATAACTCTTCAAGATGAGTTCTATGCAGAATTTTGTGCTGTGTTACCCATTTAAGGATAAAAATAGAAAAGGGCAGTTTAGCTGAAACAGAAAAATCTAGTTACCAAAGCCAAATGGATGGTCTTACAGCAAAAAAACACTGTCATTTATTAGCTTTATGATGCAATCAATAAACAACACAAATACAGGACAAGTGGTTTTCTTCCTTCCTCTGCATATTACCACACAAAAAAGAATAATAATTTTGGTGAGATTTTTTTTTTCAAAGAATACTAATGCTTATTTGGACTAGTTGAACAAGATATACACCATCAAGTGGAACTCACTGGCTTATTTTTAACTTGCTGTCTGTTTCGAGACATTGAAAGGAAACTACATATACAGGAAAAATGTAACTTTCGTCTGCATGGTGCAATGCAATGGTCAAGCTTTGTACAGTGGCCTGGCTTGCATTCCAGTATTTGAATGAACATGCATCTAAATAGGCAAGCAGCCTATGTCAGTTGTGTCGAGCAGCCCTAAATCCCAGAGAGAGACAACTGTACATATAAACCTTGATCTCACATATCAAGTTTATATTTCTTGTGTTCACCTTGTTTCTTTATCTGCTGCATTCAGGAGATTTTTGACAAAAAGCAGTACATTTCCTTATCTTTATCTTTCTGATAAAACAGGTCACTTCTGCAGTTTGTCCAGACTATATATAGTCTTGGAAATTTCAGAAATATTCCTCAGATGTGTCTTATCTGTTAACTTAAAAGAAAGCAAAGCCAAAGCATACCTTTTTCCTATCAGAACAGGACTAAGCCAAATTTGTTCTTATACACAGATGTATTCTCATTTGAAGTGGCAGACAGCTGACAGTCTAAATTAGTTGGATTAACTTAGAAAATTATTTCATTTAATTACCTTGTGTCAGGTTTTAGGTTTTCCACAGTAGAATGGGTTTGATTTGTAGTGATAATCGATTTCTCCTTTTCACCATCACTTGCTCCATTTTCAGTTGACACAACCTCATACTCTAGAAAAATCACAGTAAAGAGAAATTTCCTTAAGTAACAGCTCTTACTCAAGCTTCTCTTTTCTCATCTGGTTTTCACTCCTACTGTGAAGTAGTTCTAACATTAGTATCTAAAATTGTTAGGAAAGAGAGATCGAAATCCAGATTGCCGAGTGCCTAGCCCCTCATCCTTCCTCATAATTCAATTATGAGATAGAAGATACTCAACATTTCAGCACTGCCCAAAGGCACACTAGTGACAATACTCCAAACACAAAAGCATAATCATTCTGCAGTTTGAATGAAAAAATATCAAAGATTAAAGTTTCTAAACAATTAAACGTGGATTAACTTAAAATAAGACCTACTTTTTTAAGATGTCCAAAGGAAACTGCCCAACTAATTTTGATTGTGCACCTAGGGAATCTGCCAGTTCAGAATGAAATAATTTTGCACTTTTTTTTTTTCTGTATTTACATCATTTATAGATGCTCACTACTTTCCTTTCATCTCACTGAGATGTATCATCAAGCACAGCCCATGCTCTGAACAGGGAATTAACAACAGATGTTTGGGAAGAAGATACCCTTTCAGTCGTACCCCTGTCCAAGACATAGTCTCTCTCTAGCAGACAACTTCTGTCCCGATTCATAACTACCTCTTCAAATAGACACACTCAATATATTGCTAATTTTCCTCTCTTTGTAAAGAAATTCACAACTTCCGAAGCCACTTCCTTTTCCCTTCCTAAAATCTGTCTATAATACCAAGTGTAGCTTTGCTAACTGTAAGGTAGGAAAGTAGAATGTTTTCAAAGAACATTTGCAATGAGCATTGAGACCTACAACAAAATTAATAAAGTAAGCATTATACTGTGAGGACAGACCATCAATCAACAGCTACAAAACCTCTAGAAAGCTACTTTCCTGTCTTTTTCTAATCATACTATTAATTTTCAAGTTCTTAACTAAATGTTAGCAAGCTGTAGGGCTTTTTTTTTGCTAAATATTTTAGTTTTCAATACAAGGAGATCCATTTGCTGTTAACACAGAAAGATAAAACATCTGCAATGGGATTCAGTGTTAAAAAGGAAAAAAAGCCCCACTTTCTAAATTGTTGCTGGACTCTCAGATCCTTACTCCTAGGATATGTAGGAGATGTGTACATAAATGATCATACAGACACAAACTGACCTGATTTTCACCTCAATTGTGTAACTATGGCTTCTTTTGCACTCTTCTATGCACTAAACAGCCATCAAAACTACTGGGGTAAACTATGTAAGACAATGCAATTAAGTTCACGTGCAAAGCAGCTCTAAAAAATTATGTTCTAGAATTCCAAGCCTCTAAATCACAGCAATTCATTCTGAGCAATTATATACATGTATGTACATGTGAATTTCAGATTATTTACTGCAATAGTTTCAAAAGGGAGCTCCACACAGCATCTTTTTATCTTTGCCTTGTAATGGACTTAGTTATTTAGAGCTTATACAGAGCAACATAAAACTGCAAAATAGGTTTAAAAGTTTGTCAGAAAGTCAACAGGAAGGAAGGAGTTACTGCTGAAATTGAAGATTTCAAAATTTCCATGTTCAGAAGTCCTCCCCCACAACAGTCACCCATGAACAGCAAAAGAACAACCACTGAGTTTTAAAAATAAACTCATGAACATGCAGGAATGAGTGTCTCAGATAAGGGGGGTGGGGGGAAGAAGTAAAGAAAAAAGCAAGTAGAGGGCTATTACTTTAGAACATTTGTTCAAATGGGACCCCAATGCAATGACCAAAGACATTAGCATTGATAGTATGTGTAAAACATATCTGTGTTTTCTCTCTACGCATTTCCTTTATGGAAGCAAAGAATTTTACCTACATAGATACCAAAGTCTGAGTGAACCATAGAGAAAAAAAAATCACAAAAGCCCTTATTTGCCCTAATTAAGCCTCATTAGAGAAATTATGTTTGTTAGGAAGCATGGACGAGAGAGTGAATATCCTTTGCCTTAGGTACATGCAGATAGAGAATGAGTAGGTAACTTTACAGGCATTCAATCTTTCTGCTTTCTGCCACCCCCAAGTCAACATGTGGTTTGAACTTCTTAATTCATTCAAGCTGGAAAAGAAAACACAGCACATGTGAATGGGCCTGCACATGTGCACACACAGATGCACACAAAGAATAACTGAGCCCACCCGGTACCTGCTTGTTACTCAGTGTATGAGTCTCATTGCATGAGACAACAAACTGCCCTGCTTTTCTGTAGCAATACGACAGTAGATGTGCATGCACAAAATGGTCTTGGTTCCTGATATTTGCAGTCTTCATGAAAACAAGGAGGTAAGCTTGATCACTGTTTTGGTTATTATTTATCAGATTTTTCCATTACTAAAGTACAATTTTGTTTTTAGAAATACCCAATATGATGAAATAGCTAAAAGTCAAGCAAAGTAACCTTTAAATAAAACCAACTCAATGAATTACATTTTCTGTTTCCACACTTCTATCTGAAAGACTGCATTAAAAATGAGACGTGATGCCCAAATCAGATGATTGAAAAAACATGTATAAACTACAAAAATAAAAAGAGATGACAGAAAATTTGATTTAAGTCTGTCTAAACAAATAATGTCATGGTGCCAATATGAAGTAATCATTGTTTTCAGAAAATGGGATTCAATGCCTTCTCTTAAATTCAGAAAATGTCCTTGGATGAGTCATTAGTAACTAATTGAAGTTAAGATGGAGGAAACAAGCTCAGTGAGAGTATTTGTAAGCCACAGAGTTCAAACATTTTGTATTGCACATTGAAATTAAAAAGAATGAAGACATTATTTATGGTAAAGCTGTTACACCTAGATAGGAAGGTATCTAAACTGAAAACTAAAGTTTCTTCCAGTGAAGCAAAATGAGTATTAGTCACTTATTCTGCAGAAGGTTTTAATCTTCTTTTCTAGAATGGGAAAGGGAATGACAGGTGTGTCATTTATCTCAGAATATTCTTATAGAAGAAACTTCATGGGAAGTTCCCTCAACAGAAAACTGACTTTAAAATTCTGCCCCATTAAACCAGGACACATATAGAAGACAACAGAAAAATTATGAATGGTCGTCTTGTATTCTTACATGTCTATGTACTGATTCCTGCATGACTCACAAGAAGTTATTCTCAATAAAATAAGTTCCTTTGAAAATGAAAAAAACCCAAACAGATTCTTTTAACAGATAACTTGGTGACCCTATGGTGTGTACAGAAAGTGTTATGCTGGCAGAATAAGTCAGAATTCTACTGACTTATTCGATGGATGTAAGGTTTCATTGTGTCTGACTCACTCATCAGCAACATCCTCAAGACGAGAAAGATGTCTACATTATGTGTTTGCATCTATATAAGAAAGACTACTGTCACATTGCTGAAACTTCTTGACTAGATCTTACCAGATCCTGTACACAGACAAGACGGAAATTAAGAGAAGATACAGAGTCATAGTTAAGTATAGTTTTGTGTCATCACTGACACCAATGATACAGTTCTGAGTATCTCATTCTAATCTAGTAGCATCTTCTTGTCCACACTGAAGTTGAGAGTAACACCAAATAAAAGCACTGGGGTGTAAGACTCCCTTGGGATTAAAGTATTTTTAAAATGGCATAAAACAAGCAGGAAATACTGTATTCTAATTCAATGAAGAAAAGAAATCAGACCAACCAGTAACAGTGTCATTGTCTGGTTTTTCCCAGTCCAATATGACAAAAGTTGGACAGCCTTCAACAGTCACCACTGTGAGGTTGGTTGGAGGATTTTGTGGAGGACGAGTAGGTTCTTCCTTGCTGCCAGCTTCTTCTTGAGGAAAATGTTCAAGAGAGCTTGTGATAGAGCAAGGCACATCATCATCTTTCTTCATGTACTTGACATGGGGGGCTAAGGGCAATAGGAAAGAGCTGTTATTCAATACACAGTGTTTATACAAAATGTCAATGTCATTTCACCTAGTGCACAACTTCCATCTCAGGGCATCAAGTAAATATCTGCACAACAAGTCAAAGACAAACATAAATGTTTAAGTATAATAACAATATATTCAATATTAAGCTGCTTCTTGGGTTTTTTGTTGTTGTTAGACCTGGAATCTGCACTGCCTTCACCCCCTTGTAATTGGCACTACTGATGAAATATCGTTCTGAGGGTGTTAGTAGGTGATATGCACTGTCTGAAAGAATTTCTGTCATAAAACACCACAATTAACTTTAATCCTTCTATAGTAAAATGGCACTACAGTTCCATCTGCAGCTTTTAAGTGTTATGCTAATACAAAGATGTAATGCCCATCACAACTTTGTTTCACTAGAAAGAGTAACAAGTTTAGCCCAGAGTCATTCCATCATTACACTTGCAGTTTCTAAAGTGACTATCAAAATCTTAACCATTTTCAGTGGTACAGGACTAAAAATTGAAGCAAACCTTCTGAGGCAAGTGTCTTGTAAGTCTGCATCAAAATTAGGAAGACTATTGAAGAAAAACACATTAGTTCTAAAGCATTAGTTCTAAAATTAAATTTTCTATTGGATGTAAACAATAAGCTCTTGCAAGACAGTGTCTTCAGAAATGTAGTATCCTTTACCAGACCAAGAAAAAAACCTGAAAAATCTTTTGGTACAAAAGCACTTCTTCCTGTCATCTCACCTTGCTAAACTCTCTAAGTTTCTACAACAGCAATAACTTGACTACTTCATCATCTAGTCTAGTATATGTTACCATATTACTAGACTATCTGAATGTGCACAGTGTAGAATGAGAAGTGAGGCATACATGATAGGTAGATAGTCGTTATGATAAGATGCACTAGTATTGGGGCAATACCTCTTCAATTGTGCTTGCAAGCCAGTCGGAAGATTTTAATTTGGTTTGGTGGAATGTGAACAGTGTGCAGTTGTACTACTGCTGACATACAGGAAGAGCCACAACATTTTTGTGTGCAAGACTGTAAACTAGGAGGTGATAGCAGGGAAGAAAGTAGAAGAGAAGTACAATTTAGTCATATGCTGGTGGTCTGCACTACAGTCCTTTCATCTGACACTAAAGTGGAAGAGGATAAAATTAAGTTTTGGCCTTTGAATACTAAAAAAAATTATCTTGTTTGGCCAAACAAGATAATTTTGATGCAAGATAGGTCAGTCTTCATATATTCACTCAAATAGTAATATCATAGCTATTAAAAACCTACCTTGGTACCTCGGTTTGCCTGAAGAATCTGTTTCTGATGTAGGACTTGAACTGAAGACAGTTGCATCAACTGTGGGAGACAGAGTTATAATTTAATTTGCAATAAATACAAGGTTTCAGTGTTAGAACTGCAACATTTCACAGTTCATTCAACATTTTAAATCAGGGTAAAGCTCTTTCATGGTAGACCTCTGCTGCCAGGTCTTTCCCTTTTAAGGACTCTGCTTTGGCTGTGATGTTAAGTAAGCCCCATACCTACCTGCTAGTACAAAGACAGCCATAATAAAAATGGCAGAGTTCACAATTGCTGCTGGATTCAGTTCATGTAATATGTGCAAATTCTGTTTAGAGCTTTTTAAAAATATCTTTTTGCACTGTATTGGCTGTTTAGCTTGGAACTTGTTTCATCTTCATAGAATATATAGCACTATTATGTTGGCACATGAACTTCTCCAAAAATAACAACAAGAAAATAACAAATTCTGTTTTCAGAGCATACAACTTCTAGAAAATTTGAAGGAAATTGAAGGTAAATATACTGGTGAGCAGAAATATGCAAGAACAGTCAGAATTCATGACAACAGTGTTTTGTTAAATAGCCGCTACACTGAATAGAATCTTCTCTAAGATGCAAATACTACAAAGTACATCAATGGACAAAACACAACATATTCACTACATGAGTTTTTTAATAAATATGGCATTTGTCTTCCTTTACTGAGCGCTAAGGGTCACAGTGAGTTCATGATTGTTATAAGGAGACAAACATTTCAGTGTTATTGTAAGTTCAGGAAAATTTGAAACAGCATCATTCATGAAAATATAGCTAGAGCTGCGTATTTTGGCTCAAAAATTAATTCTAAGCACAGTCTCTCCCAAACCCATTCCTGTATGGCCACTTTGAGGAGATTTAGGTCTGAACTTGCAGTTAACTACCAATTTTATAAAAGGTCAAATTATCAATGAACCACTGTGTTTAATCTCCTACAACTTTTCTGTGTTCACAGAAAAATGAAACAAAACAAAACTGTCTTTAATATGCTTACCATAATACTCTGGAGTTGCAAAAGCTGTTGGTGTCTTATGTGATGTTCCTGTCCTCACAGGTGGTGTTGGTCCAGCAGGTTTAGCTATAGTGACAGAAGGAGCAACTTGTGGCAACAAGTCATTCACTATTTAAAAGAGTGAAACAGCTCTCTGATTTTCTAACACAACTCAGATTTGTTTCAACTGTTTAATGAAAAAAGCCCTTTCATTTAAACTATGATATTCCCTCAAAACTTAGACAACAGCTTCCAGTTGGATTTAGGAAAGTTCCAAGTTGTTCTTATTGCCAATATAACCTACTCCTGAAACCCAGTAAGAAACCTTTTTGCTACTTGAGGATAGTCTTGAAAGACTTCAGTCAGCTAGAATATGGTCTGGTTTAACACACAGAACTGTCCTACACAGACTGGTAAAAGGGTGCAAAATGACCAGCATTGACATTTCTGCTTCTCAAACAAAAGAGCACATTTCTTCCTGAGTTGTAAGACAGGGCAGCTGAACTTAGCAACTGAAACTTCGATTCTTGTCCCAGATATAGCTAAGGTCTTTTCATTTCTGCTCTCACTACAGGAGATGTATTAGCAAGGCTGGAACATGTATGAAAATAAACACCACATTCTTAACTATGGTCTGCATTAAGAGTTTAACCACACAACAGTACTGGACCTTCCACTAAATGACATGAAGATGCATTTCAAATGAAGGTAAGAATAATGCAGCCAAGACTAATATTTTTAACACTTAAAGCACGGAAAAAGCTTTCTTTCTGAACTGATCTATTCCGTAGTAGGCACCATAAGTTTGGACAGTAACTGATTGACAGAGGCAATATTATTTCCTTTAATTAAATAGCTATTTTAAAAATTGTTTTAGATAATGTGACATTGCTTTTACTTCCCAGCTGTTACCACTAATAATGAAAATATGTTTCTAAGAGGAAAACAATCCATTGTAAAGGATGTTGATTATTTTAGAAATAGCTGTAAAAGACAAGAACTACATTCACAAAACATGCTGCCAGATAACCACTGCATGACTGAAATCTCAACTCCCAGAAAGTCAAGAATTACATAATGTAGTTACCGTCCTTGCATATATAACACAGAGGAATGTGGTGGCTGAAGGCAGAACTCTGGTGAATCAAGTTTAAAACAGCAACCTTCCATTAATTTCCTTAATAAAGTGGAAATTTATTAAGATTCTTGTAATAAAGATTCTCGTAATAAAGATTCTCTCCCTACTTTCCACTTATTTCCTTAATAAAGTGAAAAATGACTTTCACGAAAGTCCAGTATCACAAATGTTCTGGAACTTTCCTGTTTCATTTTTTTCCATTCAGGAGACTCTTAATGTCTGCACAGAAGCTTTCTCATAGTATTCATCCACTGGATGAGTAAGAAAGATGCAAGTGAGGAATTAATGAGAGTGTTAATAATAAAAAGAAACAGGACAGAATTATGGAAGGGAAAATCCAAGAAGAACACTGAGAGAAATTTTTCCTCTTAGTACTGCGAAACAGTCTCTCCAGGGAACCAGAAGAAACTCAATTATGATGTTTAAAACTAGACTGGATAAGACACTAGGAAACACTGAATAAGGAAAATCTGCTGCTGGCTCCACAAGGAAGAACCAGATCATCTAACTAGTTTGTTCCATCTCGAATACCTAGGAAGGTATGGTAACGGCTGTCTACCACATAACCTGGCCTCTAGTATACGGAAAAAAGGTGAAATTTCAAAACACCAGTAAACTAATTAGACAGTTCATGGAGAAAATCAGCATAAACCCTACAACATTTTTTTTATGCCCCAGCTTAAGAATGAAAATGTAATTTGTTCTGTTTTAGCTATTACTAAGGAAGAAACACCAATCAACAGCAAGTATAGACATAACATTTTGGTCTTGGCTCTGCTGTTGAGTAAATACACAGCTTGTTTCATCCAGTTTGGAGATTGCTTCTAATCTGCTGTACAAGATCCTAAAGAATTATTTAAGCCTTGTGTGCCTTAATAGCACACAAAACTCCAAACAAAACAAAGAAAACAAAGACAACAGGAAATAATGCAGAGCCAAGACCTTTATATTTCCAGTGAACTACAAAGAGTAATAAGATGACAGTTTAACACTACTTGGAATAACATTATCATAAGGATTCTTATCTAGAATCCACAGACAAAACATATGTAAGGATACTGAATATCAACTTCAGGATAAAATCAAAATAAAATAGGAAATATGAAAGTTTCTCTATGCTTTTACAGTGAGACCGAGAAACGTCAATACTGTAGCACAGGAATGAAACTAAACTCTTTGCACATAAATTATCTCATCTCACTCTACCTCCCAGTGCCGTTAGCTTTCTGGGTGCCTATTAGCTCGTTATTTGTGCTGGTTAATGGATGTGCCATATATATGGGACAGAATTTCTTTACAAATAACTAGTTGGGAGCATGCATTGAAGCATAATATTCAATATCTTCCATCTGACATGCACATTAAGTAACTGCAAATGCTATCAGTAGACACAAAATGTTCTTAAGGTTGATCGTCTTAAAGGATGACTTGCATTATGCGGTTTTTCTTTCAGTTCCCTTACTAGGGGTGATTTTGACACAACTAAGTTAGGAAAACAAAAGGAAAATGGAGTTTATGTATGAAGACAAAAGACACAAGGCCTTTATGTTCCAGAAGACTAGTTTCTGTAGATATGACAGATAAAAGACAAAGATAAAAGAAAAAGAATCTATACTGTAAAATTCACCTATACTCTGCTAGTCAGTTCAGAATAATCTCAGACATCATAACATACTTATATTGAAAGGCTGAGATACCTGGACTCCCTGGTTTACCAGTCACGGTGTTTGGAGGCAGAGGTTTTCTTCGCATTTGTGTAGGCTTCACAGGAGGTAGAGGAGGATGCTGAGGGCCAGGTGATATAGTAACTGAATGACATTACAAGACAGTGTTATTAATTATTTAACCTCAGATTCCATAAAATCAGAACCCATTACAATTTATATTCTGACTTCTCAAACAATGTTTCATGTCTGATCAAAGGTGGAGAGGTGAGGATAGAAGATTAAATAAGTTGTATTTTCAGCCTTAAATTCTTTGGGAAGTGTGTGCCATGGAGTTTTAAACCAAGCTCACACTGAAGAAATATAATCTCCTTTGGGGTTTTGTACAAGTGTTTCAGTGATTCGTTTTCTGTGTCGTTACTAATTTCTGTCAATGGTAATTTTCTGGCAGTCAACAGGATACTTCTTCCAACAATAAACACCACCTCAGTGTACTTGGAATCTTCAATATCCAACTCATCAAATTTCCGATCTTTTGTACTTTCTACCCTGTAAAACTGGTCACCTTCAGCTTGAAGCAAAGGATGTAGCAAAAGGGAAAGTATCATTAGGGACACTTAAAAATGCCATTCAAAAGTGAAAAATGAAAAAAGTCACTGTCATTTCATGCACTGACATAGCTAGAGACAGTTATTATGTTAGAAACTCCTGAAGCAACCCAACTATATTGCTTCAAAGTGCAGTACAAGCCAATATCTATTACATTTATCTGGTATGGTCCTTTGACAGTGAGGACTGAAAGGAGAACCTAAGCCTCTAAATTCATACTTAAAAAATATTTTACTGTATTTCCCAGGCAACTATGAAGGATTTTATTAAGCAAAGGAAAGGCAAAGGAAAAGATTTTTATTCCACTATTCATGTTTGCATTTCTTTCCTTAAGAAAAAAACAGGAGATATGTCCAACACATTTATGTTACAATAGACTTTTTGTACCTAACAGAGGAAAATCCTAAAGAGTAATATAATTCTTATAATGCTGCCAATGTAAACAAATATGCAAGTTGCCTGATACTGAGTTATTTGCTACACAGATTACCTTGAGCCCTACATATCAGACCTTAGTTTACCCTAGAAATAGATTGACTGTGGACAAGAAGGGAGTAGATGCAAAGACTCATTTGGGAGAGCATTTTACAAATACTTACAATATACAAACAGAAAGATCTCCATATTTCTCTGTTCCCTTTTCTTTTTGGACTTTTGCAGTCACTTATAAAACACATTTTTTTAAATCGCTCTATCTAATTCAGAAAGATGTAATGGTTTTGAAAATAGCATTTTAAAGTTTCATATTCATTCCTAATCCCCAAGTGGGCATGAAAAAAATTATGCATGAAGTGAAAAAGGATAATATTTTTGTATATGTAAGTCATCATACCCCAGATACTATCACATGGTAGTATCCATGATTACTTTTCCTCCCGACCATATTTAGGGAATTGTATTGTCTAAGATACTTACAGGGTAAAAATGTGTAAGTATTGACTTGTCAGTGGTCTCTATCATATCTACTGACAATACAACTGCAAGTTATATGCAAGTCAAAACATTACATTTAGTGGACTGCATCACAGTTGAATCTACTATACTGCACTCTGGAAAAATGAGAATTCCTACCCTTCCCTCCTACTACTTCCACAGTGATTTGGGCTATGCTCTATGATGCTACCAAATCTAATTAACAATGTATGGAGACTGAGCTTGTAAGGCAGAACACACAATAGAATTTAGGGATTTTGTGATAGCGTAGATTCTTGTGAGGACAGTGGCATGATGAACTATTAGGATTTATTCAATCTCAGGGGTTCTTTGTGGACAGAGAATGTATTTCCTTGCCTGTCACTCTTCACAAAAAAAGAGGGCATGCAACCTCTTAGGGTAGACTCTTAACACATCAAGCTTAATTCTTGTGTGCTATAACCTATTATTATCATGTCTTCTAAATAGCCTAAATGTAAAATTTTTCATTTAAAACACACTAAGTTTTCAGAAAAAATAAATGTATTTAAAGAGAAAGTCAAATACTGGCTAACTTATAGCAATACTTGATTAATCACCCTCACCTCTTTGCATAGTAATATGGAACAGATCCTCCTGGAAGCTATGTCAAGGTATCTGGGTGACAGAAAGGTGATTAGAGACAGCCAATGTGGCTTCACAAGGGAAAATCATGCTTGTCTAATCTGTTGGCTTTCTAGGATGCAGTGACTGTCTTGATGGATAAGGGAAGAGCCACAGGTGCAGTCTATCTTGATATCTTCAAGGCCTTTGACACGGTCCCACACAACATCCTTGTCACTAAATTGGAGAGAAATGGGTTTGATGGATGGATAAGGAATTGCCTGGACAGGCCCATCCAAAAGAGTTGCAGTCAATGGCTCTATGTCAAATGTAGATCTGTAACAAGTGGTGTCCTTCAGAGGTCTGTACTAGGACTGTTCAATATCTTTATTAATGACATAGACAGTGCACACTTGGCAAGTCTGCAGATGACATCACCAAGCTGAGTGGTGCAGCTGATACGCTTGAGGAAAAGTATGTCATCAAGATGGATCCTGACAGGCTGGAGAAGTGGGCCAATGCAAACCTCATGAAGTTCAACAAGGTCAAGTGCAAGGTCCTGCACCTGGGTTGGGGTAATCACCAGTACAGGCTGTGTGACAGCTGGATTCAGAACAACCCTGCAGAGAAGGACTTGGAGGTATTGATAGATGAAAAATTAGATATGAGCCAGCAATGTATGCTTGCAGCCCAGAAAGCTGTGTCAAAAGAAGTGTGACCAGTAAGTTGGGAGAGGTGATTCTCCCTCCCTGCTCTGCTCTTGTGAGACCTTATCTGGAGTACTGCATCCGGTTCTTGGGTCCCTAGTACAACATAGACAGAGCTATCTCAGATCAGGCCCAGAGGAGGCCCACAAAAGTGATCAGTGGGCTGGAACACCTCTCCTATGAAGGTTGAGACAGTTGGGATTTTTTAGCCTGGAGAAGGCTCCAGAAAGATCTTTCAATACTTGAAGAGGGCTTATAAGAAACATGGAGAGAGAATTTTTACCAGAACCTGTAGTGATAGGACAAGAGATAACCATTTAAAACTAAAAGAGGGTAGATTTAGATTAGATATAAGGAAGGAATTCCTTACTGTTAGGGTGGTCAGACACTGGAACAGGTTGCTCTGTGAAGTTGCGGGCGTCTCATCCCTTGAAGTGTTCAAGATCAGGTTGGATAGGGCTTTGGCAATATGATCTAGTGAAAGATGTCCCTGCCCATGGCAGGGGGGAGGGGGAGTGGAACTAGACAATCTTTAAGGTTTCTTCTAACCCAAACCTATGATTAAATAATTCTGAATTCTGACATAGATAGTAATGCATCATGAAGGGAACTGAGATACAGAAGTATACAAGAAAATTAAGAAACACTAGTAGCTAACTTCACAACCATACCCAACTGTCTCTTATGATTAAAGTTCAAGGTATTGGCTTGCATCAAAGCTCTAAAAGCTTAAACTTTAAACATCTAATGTCATAAGTTGAGTAAAAGCAGATATACGTGTTCCTTCAAATCTATATGCATAGAAAATATTCCAGTCTTTGCAAATCACTGACTGGATTTACTTAAATACACAGCACTGCCTGACATTCAAACAAAAAAATGCAGAGTGCCATCCTTGTTTGCAGTCTGCATCCAGCTACTACTAATGCTAACTCATACTGTACTTAATCTTTGCCAAGTACGATCTTCACATTGAATAAACTTTTAAAAGGGTGAAACATCAGAAATCAGCTGTTAGGATAGGCTCATGTCTTTGTGCATGCAAATTAGGTGCAAAGGAAATTCAGCCAGGATTAAGAGCAAACCACAGTTCATAAATTAGTAAGAGGCTTATCTCAGTAAATGTGTTTTTAGGTCTAATAACATGTTTTCAAAGAAAAATCTAACTAAAAAAAAAGCAGCTGCAGCTGAAAAGTCAATGAAAGAACAAAACCAAAATTATTTTACTTTCAGTCAGTTTTACCAGTAAAAAAGCACAGCTAAAACAAGCTCTACACTTGGTTATGCTAATAAACCAAAGAAATTTGTGTGGCATACAAACACACTCAATACTACAATTTTTTCAGTTGAAATAGAAAATTAATAAGATTACTAGAAAAAAGTGAAATACAAAAAGCTTATTTTTGAAAACCTATTTGTGGAAGCTATTTTTCAGTAAAATACTTTGTTTGTCTTGAAAAGATGATTGCAAGACTTGCAAGAAAAATAAAAGTGACAAGTCTGGTACAAGATATGTAAAGAACCTGCAGTCATATTTGCTCCAACTTGTTATTTTGCTTTAAGCCTAACGTCCTAATTTTCCTCATAATCCTAATACTCACCTAAACTGTCTTATAAGCAGGACACTTTGGTTATGCATTCTCCCTATTTTTCTTTGCCACATGGAAACTATTAGTGTGAAAAAAATCAGTGCTTACAGTACGGTGGCTGCTTGATAATAATGATACAACACTTGTGTTGGTAATATATGATATACAGTATATGTTAGTAACCTAGCAGTGACCATGAAATATTCTTATTTTTATCTCTTTTAGTAGCATCCTGAAACAAAGAGAACATGCATTTAAGAGGATGACTAAGAATTATTTTCCGTTCTTCAGTGGAGGTGTTTTTTGTGTAGGCAGTATTTTTATTTTTCATAATTACTAAAAATGGCTATATTGTCTTTTATTAATCTTACCAGAAAATGGCTTTTCCTTGGTATCACTATGTACCAAAAGTTTTTCCACTTCCATGCTAATTTGTCCGGCAATAGCCTCAGGTGTATATTCTTCATCTGTGAAACAAAAGGAAATAAAACAAGTATCTGCAGTGCAGTATCAAATAATGAAATACTTCTATACTATGTATGTTTAAACTGTAGATAACATTAGTTGCAGAACCTATATATGAATCATCTATATTTTTACAGATAACTTAGTCATATCCACTATCTTCCTATTCAAGTAAGCAGAAAGTGGTCTTGAACTAGAGGATTATGCAATTTAATTCTAAACATTCCTTGAAAAAAAGTGTATTTGGAAAGAGAGAATGAGTAAGATTAAGAGATAACAGATGAGTTAAATGAAGATTGTTTCATTAATCATGGAAACATGATTACAGAGAACATTTTAGTTTTCAGTATACAGAATAAAATGTCCATTAATTCTTGCAACAAGCAAAGCTCTCCTTCTTCACAAAAATAAGGTCTTTGGTTATCCTTCACATTGAATGGCTAAAGCAATTCTGAACCAAACATATACCATATTTGGAGTACTGGAGGCAAAGTGTACATAAAATTCAGTTTGTATATAAAAGAAAGTCTTACTTAAAAGTTACATAAACACATTTTATAAAAAATGAAGTAAACGGCATTAAAAAGATCAACATAACTACTCCTGGTAGAGACCAACTGTTTCACATGCTGATATTTATAGGACAGCCAGACTGTTAAATTAATATGCTCTCCCTATACAACATAAGTATATTTACTTTATAAAAACTCTATATATGGTAGAATGAGAAAATGCATTGCAATTTCATAACGTTTGTGGATAAAACCCCCACACTTTCACATGAGAAGACAAAAAACCCCCTGAAAGTTAATGTAATTAAAAAAACAAAACAACCACAACTCAAAATAAAATTATCAAATTCCAAGCCTATTCCAACATGATCTAAACATCTCAAACAAAGACTTTGTAGGTTTATAATCTGGTACTCAGCTTGTTTCAAGTTGGGACTAGTATTTTAACAGCATGAAGCAGATAATTTTTCAATTATTTTACTATTTGCCCATTCTTGCTAGGCATACCTAAGGAATCTACAGTTGTGGCACTACACTTAAAATGAGAGTGAACAGAAACTCTGCCCTCTCTAAAAGTGTGAGTGAGTCTCAGTACTCCTCACAAAGGAGAATAATAGTATAGAAACATTAAATGGCTTATTTAAGATTAAAATAATCAGACTTGTAGTAAGCCAGTAATAGGAAGTTTATTTTATTTTATTTTATTTTATTTT